TAGTCTAGTAAAGGATGGAATGGCAGTTGTAGCTCAATACGCACATAATAAAACAAGTTATAATTCTGTAATATTGAAGCAGAGAAAGATACTGTGTTATAGTAGAATGTTTTGCTTAAGAATATATGAAACAAAAATTCTGTCCATACAATAAAAAATAGTCAGAAAAGAGTAGCAGCACTTTGTAAATAATTGAAGTATCTTAGGAAATAAGCATAAGTATAGCAAAACATATTTGGACTTAATTAGTTGTCAAATGTTATTTATTAGTGACTTATAAGCCATGAGTTTGTTTCAGTGATGGCAATCCCCAGATTTCAGAGCACGGGAATTATTAGATTCATGCTTCAAAAAAGCTACCAAGCCAATTACAAGATTTATTAATGTGCAGCTCCAGAATGCCCTGCATCCAACCTAGACCTGCACTAACTTCTGCTTTGGGCAGCCTGGGTTTTAATGCTGACTTAGGAAGTGAGAACCAAATATTTTTAATAGACTGTAAGTTAAATTGAGACTGTAAAGTTTTTGAGTTAAAACAACAGCCTTTACTCAGGCAGGACAAGGGCAAGATAGTGAAGCATAAAGAACTGCAATAAAGCTATGAAGAGCTCCTACTGTTGTAAACAAGCAGGTTGCTTTCAGGCTGAAAATTAACCAGCACACTTCACAGTCTGTTAAAAAAATGAGTTTCAAGAAAGAATATCTGCCTGCCTCATCTTGCAGTCTGTCAAACACTGCCTTGTAATTGTTTGACTTGAAATATGCTTGGTTTTAGTTTCTAATTCTGTCTGTCAGTAACCTCTATGCTCCCCTGAATTGACAGACAAGTCTGTTCCCTGCTGCTGCTTGCTCCCATCTTCTCTTTGTCCTCCCTAGAGGATCACCAGCTAGCACAGAAACAATTGTCCCGAGCTTTCCATACAGTATCCAACAACCTCTGCAGTAATTTGGTACTTCTTGTTAAATTTTAGTTTCCCAACTATTTTGATATTCATCTTAAAATCTAGTGTCTAAAACAGAGCAAAATAACACTGGTTTTAAGGTGTTATTTTAGTGTATTTTTCAATTTTTAATGAGAAGACACCTATCAGGCTTTGCACCTGCAAATCACGTGTCCTTCAAGATTTCTGCTACATTTTACAAATCCTATTTGCCCAAAGAGAGGTGATCAGACCCAGACCCATCACACATTCACACAGCTGTCTATCCAGATCACCCTGGATTAACTATGGAACAAAAACTATTTTTCCATTACTTATTTCATCATCTACAATATATTGCCAAAACTACAAATTTCATGCAGAACAAAAAGCTTATCCTTCAGCTCAAAAGTTCATTGCAAGGTCCCTGAAGAAAACTAATTGTATTTACTAAGCATGACCTATGTTTTGGAAGAACATGTTCATTCCCACATGTTTGAATGTTCGAAAACACTTCCTTGTTTGTCTTCCTATTCAGTATTTGCAAATATTTTCAATGAGTGAAAGTCAAATTTATAGATCTTTTGTGGTCACCTAATATTTTACATTCACCAAATCTGTACAATTATGAGGTTTTTCCTTTCTTTTATTTTTCTTTGATTGTCTTATAACATTTTTCATTAATTTTCCAAATATTATCCTAATTATTTTTAATCAGCTAGTGACCAAATGTAAATACTATAAAAAGAAAGGTACTTTAGCTTCCCAGAAGTAGCCAATATATTTGCCACTGGTTGTCTGCTGATATTCTTAATGAGTCTGGTTATATCCCGCAATGCTTTTGCTTTGCATTCGTGAATTTATTTTTTATTTTGAAGAGGGTGGTGGTCTGTCTTCACATTTCTCCATCCTGCTTTTCATTTTTAATATTAGCATGTCTCACACTTTTTCAGTTAGACAGAAAAGATTCCATCTTTCATGTGTTTCTCCATTTCTTTGTTGCTTCTGTTTCACTGGACACAAAATACTGCTTTTATTCCTACCTAATTGTGGTTAGTTTTTGGACAATTATTTGTGGTTTTTCTGATCAAATAGTGGATAATAATATTTTCTCACATGCAGAAGATTTTAGCTGAGAGAAACACAGAAAGCTGCAATTACTACCATTACACAAGTTAAACAAATAATTATTACTCAGCTTCTTAATTTAGCTTTTTTCCTTGCCCTTAGAATTTTTAATTTCCAACTCAAGTGTGCCCTACTGTTGTGCAGATCTTGTGTCTTCTGAGTGGGTGCCTTGCTCCTACAGATCACCAATGCCCATTGAGGGCAGAGTAATACTCAGCATTTAATTACCAGCATTAAATGGAGCCAGATGTGACAAGGCTTGCTGCCCTGTAAAGCCACTGGCCCACTCACTGGGAGCAGATGTTACACCAGTCATTTTGTGGCAGATGAAACTACTTAAGGTCACTTTAATCACAGAACAAAATTACTGCTTTTCTTTCACTGTAACTGGATGAAAGATTCATTTTATAATTTAGGATATGCAGTGATGCATATTTAGTTTCAACTTCAAGTCTCTAACACCATTATGGAGCGCTGGGTAGTTTATTATTACAATGCTGTATATTTACTGTAAAATTTCAGGCTATTTAAGCAATATTTCCTCTGAAAGAGAAAGCTCATGAAAAGAGCTTGAAGTTTTGTTTTAGCTTATATGGAAAAAGTAAACTCCTCAGATAACTAAATTCCTGTATATTCATAGCATAGCATGTCTCACTCTGGGAATTGCAGGGAATTGGGTGTATCTTTGTAAAGAGAACACAATGATCTTTGGCCTTGTCAGCATTGCATCAATATAAGAAATCACCCCAAAACAACCTGGGTACTGGCTGGAGAATCAGCAGAAATGAATGAGCCTCACTGCAAAGTCTCAGGTGACTGTAATTCTCTAAACTGGAATTCTATAGTTACACTGTAATCTGTGCCTGGAATTGTGGGATGTAAAAGCAGAATAATCCTAGCAGGAGATTTCACTGTTCTTCGGCATTTTTTTTTTTTAGCTTATCCTCATGAATATTTCCCTCCCCAACTCAAATTTTCACTGAAGATGCCACATGATTCTTACCCCCCACATTTTCCAGACTGCTGAAGAATAATCAACGGTTATCAAGTACTTCAAAGACATTGAGTACAATGTAAATTTTAAGTATTATTAACCATCATATTTTAAGAAATTCAGCCAAAGGAAATGTGAAAGGGCACATTAGCAGGAAAAAAAATTAACCCTGTCCTGAAAAGAATTAAGGGAACTCCGATAAAATTCTGTCTAAATACACTGACAAAAATGTAACTATTCTGCATGACTACTGAGAATTATCTTGTAGCAATGCTTCTTCAGTAGCACTTATCACTTAAATAATATCAAGGACAGAGAGAATGTTTGAATATATGTTATTCACTAGATCAATAAAAATATATAGCATCATTTTCTGTAAGTAGTTTTGAGAAAAAAAATTTCCATCATGGAAGTGAAAAAACTACTTTTTGTGATGATAGAAAGACCTTTATGCTAATACGCACTGGTTATGCCAGAATGAATTAATTATTATTTTCAAAATTAATTTAATATTATTTTCACATTCAAAGCATAAAAACATATTAATGTGCCAAACAGACTTATGATAATGTGAAAATGAATGATGTTATTTTAAAAGAAGAGTCCTTCAGGTTTTATTTTCCACATATAAATGTAAATCTACTTCACAAATTCAGTATGAAATAGAAATCTCCTGCAAGGAAATTGTGTAGGAACAGAAAAAACCTTTTAAAAATATTAGAGGTATGAGAGAAGTGAACTAAAAGACAAGCAGAAAGTTATATACTGTCTGGATTTTAAGACACGGGTGTAGCTTAAGATAGTGGACTTCTGGAAGTGCTCACACACCATGAGTTAATAGCATCAAAACAAAGTCTACAACAGTCAGCTTCCATCAGTTCAGTCCTAGAGCTGTTAGTATTGTAACTCTACTATTTTTCCTCTGTACACCACACAATCCTGTAGCTGCTGCAAAAGAAATCCTATAACACTCCTCATACTGCTTGTCTGCTACCACGAAAAATAAAATATCTTGTAGTTAGAAAAATTCCACTTCCTTCACGTTCTACTGAGGACTTGAAACTGGAAAAACTATAGGTGGATACAAAAGTCACAGAACATTTAAGCAACTGCCCGTCAGTCTGGGAGCCCAGACATCTGTGTGCCTTTCAGACTCACTTGCCAGAGCACAGAGGCCGCCCTAGAGCCTGTGTGGATGCACAGCCATGGGGCATTCAGGCAGTAAAAGTATCTTTGCAAAAGCTCAAGAAATCAAATATTAAGAAGCCTACACATAGATAAATTAAGGTCTCGTTCTCTATATATTTAGGCTGGCAGTTATACACTGCTAATAATTGGGACTAACTCTTAAGTGCAAGAACATAATGTGCTTCTGTTTTGAAAAATAGGAGGCCTCTTCTGTTTACCAAACCTTTGATCATCACATGAGTGTCTATTCATTCAAAAACTTTCAAAGTAACATGAAAAGTAAACAAATATAAATTCAAATATTGGTTGATAAGAATTGTTAAAAATAAGTTTAATCTTGCTATAAAGTCTCAGCATTCTGAAGCAGTTCTAACACACTACAAGGTCAGAGAAGAGGTTTTTTCTTGGTCAGCCCAAGTGTGGCTGTTGGGATCATTTACCTTTCGCACACAAGAGGCCTGGATTCATTGAGGAGCGGCCCCAGCGAGGAGCAGGGCTGTCGCGGTGGCGGGGCGATGGGGACAGGGGCGTCCAGGGCGGCGGCTTTGCGGTGCAGCCCCTCCTGGGCCAGCGCAGGGCCCTCGCCGTCGCCGGGACAGGAGCCGGCCTTGCCGTGGGCGCCGGCCGAGGGCAGCTCCGGCCCCACCGCGCCCTGCAGCGCCAGCTCGGCCGCCGCCTGCTCGGCCTCCAGGGTGGGCGACGCTGGAGGGGACGGCCGAGGCTTGCGTTTAGTGGATGCTCCAGAAAGTAGTTTCAGCAAACCTTTTTTTTCTTTCTGTAAACCAAAAGCAGTGCCCCGTTTTAGAACAAAGCTCTCCCATAAAGAGTTGAACATTTCCATCTGATAGATGACATCATGCTCAGAGAGGACTTGGTAAATTACGAGGACATACTTGACATTAGAGAGATGATGAAAACTAGAAAAAGAAAACTATTAACATTCTAAAGAGAAAAACAGCAAGTAATTTAGATCATAAACTAGCTAAGTCCTTCCACTTTGTTAGGTTAAAGTTTAACTTTAATTGAAATGGCTCTGTCACAAAAGGTTGTATAGATAAACGAGTGAGGAGATTATATTACAGAAATCTATGAAGTAACATATTTCATTAACATGGATGTTTCTAGGAAGACAAAGAATCAATTCAAACCAAGCAGAGAAAAAAGTCTACTCTGGAAGCTGCTGTTTAGGTAAGTTTCTTTTATTTATCCTTCTTTAGTAATGGAAGACCTTCATGATCTAACAAAAATTCGCCCCAAGGGGAATGCATTGTGTTCTGCTGCTCCGCTAAAGGGGAGGATTGTAAACATTCTTTTTGCTTGTCCAGACAAGAATCCCTGAAGACTATTACCTAGCCTGAAGAGAATTATTTAAGTAGCTTTTGTGTTTCTTGTATTTTTTTTTAAAGGTGTGGCAGTGTTCTTCTTACCAACCCTTTGACTGAGTGGATTTAATGCTTATGAGAAGTGCCAGATTGTAAGCCCTGGAGACAAAAATAATATTTAACCATAGACAGAGAAAAGAAAGAGCAATGAGCAAGTTTCTTGATAGTCTGGGATGCAGTGGATTTAGTGAATAAAATCCTCAGTCCCTTTTGTAAGTCTCCAATAACACAGAGCCATTTCAGCAACAATGTGCTGTCTAGCAAATGTCAAAGATAAAAAGAAACTCAGAGGAATTAAAACAATTCTGTATTAGCATAATTCACCTTAAACTACAAGTACATTTTCTCTAAGGGCACCTCAGTCTGGTTTCAATGTCTATGGCTAAAGTAATTTAAAAATAAAATTCAAGGCACATCCATTCAACAATAATAAAAAAAGTAACTCAAAAGTGGCTGAATTAGCGTGCAGTTTAAAATCTTCATAAACTTCACGAAGGAGTACATGTGGTTGAAGAGTAGTAAGGTTAAGTCTAAAATATTTGAGATATAAAGATAGTTGTCACAAGGAGACAAAGTTTCCTAACTACATCACAACTATGAAACAAAATCAATTACAAAGCTAGAAGAATTTTTCTGACAACAGTATAATCACATGGGTTGGTGAACACTGAGAATGAGTTGACACACATAGGAAATACTTCAAATAGAAGGAAGGAAAGCAGAATCTACACACTCCACTGTCCTACATTTAGAGAAGATGGTTATGTGCATTCTTTCTTTGTCCAATAAACACTGCTGGAAATGTGTTTCAGCAATGTATCTCAGTGTGCCTGCTTAATTAGAAAGGTAACCTAAAAGAATTCTGATTTTAATTTTATTTTGCTAGAATGAAATTTTTGCATTCCTGCAAGTTCATGTGTTTTTTTTAGGCTGTGTTTTTAAATTTCTTAGAAGATTGTATGATGAAAATAGGAGAGTTCAAGGGAATGATTTTATTCTCTACCCACCTTGCCATCCTTGTCTGTTTTACTGACAGCAGCACTTCCACCAGCTGTTAAAGCACTCTCTGGAGATGCAGGAGCTCCAGGGTGAGTGTTTGCAGTTTTTCCACTGATATCTCCCTCCAAAGATGAAGCAGCAATGTTAGGAGAATTCAGAGAAGCTGCTGTACATGCCAGTGGGATGGTTGAGCGGTTCACATTCACAGCTGTGACATAAGCAGCAGTATTTGGAAGCTGGGGCTGGAGCTGCTGGGAGGCAACAGAGTGGTGGGGAATGATCACAGCTGCAGGAATAAGGCAGGATGGATTTTGTGCTTGTATGGGTGTGACTGCTGCCGTAGGTCTTTCTTGACTATGTGAGGCAACTGGAATAAAAGAATGAAATGTGAGAGTTCACCTTTTCACGACACACACAAAGTGAGGTGCAGTTTATGTGTTACAGCTAATCAATCACAAGAAGTTTTCTTTTTACCTTTTAAACTTCCATTTATACTGCTATAATGACATGATACACACCACCAAATCTATTTCACCCAAATAAAGCAGTTGCATGTGCTACCCTACTTGCACCAGTATGCAACAGAATAACAGCACTGCAGCTTCTCTGTTGTGGAGAAATCCAAGCTGCTAAGTCAAATGCTTCCCATACAGACAGATGCAAAGTGAAGATTACACTTTAATACCTAAGAGCTAGCTAAATACTGCCTGGAACTTGTTTGCTCCTTTTAATACCACATGTAGTTGTCAGGACATATAAAGCAAAGTAGGAAGAAACACACCTTACAGAAGCTGCTAAAAATATAATTAGATTGTTTCCCTAAGCTATTCACAAAATCCATAACAGATTTTATAGGTCTTTCAAACAACAAGCACAGTGGCCATTATTGCTGTGAGTGCTTTCTCTGAAAATGTAAGCTATTGTCTCTTGGGATGTTTAAATATAGAAAGTGGATTTACTCATACCCCTGTGAAATAAAAGGAACATCTACACTGGAAGCTGGAGAATAGCACAGGGCTGAATATATTAACCTGGGATGCAGTGCAAAGCTGGAAGCTCAGAGCTTTGCATGAACTAATTTATTCCTTCCAAGAAGTAACACTGCTGGTAAAGTCTTGTGGTCAATCATATATGCACGCTGTTAGACCATTTCAACAGTTTGGGCATCTCTGCACCATTGGGTGGTATGAAATGCAGACATACCAAACAATATGAGCCAAAATTTAGCACCCAGTGCAGCACGTCTCTCCTTCAAATACTTTGAAACTTTCCATCTAAGAAGGAGTCATCCCTGTAGCTTGGTGCATGTGCATCTCAATTTTATCAATTTTTGATTTTTCAGATACTAATAGAGTTTCAGACTTATTTTAAGTGAAATCCTGGAACCAAACCTCCAGCACTTGCTCTCTTCATTCTGCTTTCTACAAATGCCTCTGGTAATTTGGTTAGATTGCAGCAACGGTGTACTAGCGAAGACTAAAGGTCTCAAATTTTATATAACAATTCTACAGTATTTTACCCAATTGCAATCTATGCAGTGAGAAACACAATTTCTTTTTTATTTTAAAAAAGGCACATTACTTATATACTATGTCTAATTTCTTGATAACCTCTTCTTCTGTAGCTGACCCTTCCCAACTCTTGAGTAGCATGAACATTTTAAAAGAAAGGTAAGGAGATTATAGAAAGACTTTTTTTGGTCAAAAACAATTATTAATGCTGGCTTTTGTTCATGAGACAACATCAGTTTTCCAAGAAGTAGCTGCTATTCTTCAAGATATGTCTACATTCATATGCAATTTATGTATGACAAGCATGGAAGAGCTTTCTGGTTTTGTTTTCTTATTGCTGATGGAATTGATAGGAAAAATGCTTCAAGTCACCCTGTTTTGATAGAGATTATCCTTTAATGAAATTTCTGCCTAATGAAATAAGCAGAATATAAGTTTTCCTTATAGGGCCTACCAATCAAAGGATGCATACTCCCTCAGCAAAGGTGATGTCAAGCAGTGTCTCACTCTGGTCATTTGAAGAATGGTCCTTGAAGCCCTGAGCTAAACTGAAGCTGAAGCCCTGCATTAACCTGTGAAGCCTCACCCAAAAATTAACACTCAGCAAATGTGCTAAAGAAAGGTCAAGAGGATCATATTTCAGATGTTTACTACAAAGTTCTCTGTAACATTTGAACATAAAGTAGCCATTATTGCTTCAGTGCTCAGGTCCTTATAAGGGACAGATCTGTATTGGTACTAAGAGCACACCTTTGCACAATCCAATGTTAAGTTCTCTCTGATGAGAATCCAGTCCCTTTGGATTTGTCATTTTGGACCTGAAAAGTCAGTGGGAAGTATGTTGTCACATTTTCAGCTGAATGGAAGTGTAAAAGCTTATTCATCTTGACAGCGGTGCAGAGATGCAGGGACAGAAAGGCCTCTGGAGCCCACAGGAGATTTCTCCTTTGTGTTGTCACTTGCAAGCTCCTAGGCAGCTCAAAAGAAGGCTTTAGAGTAAAAACCACCTGTGCCTACAAGGCAGGAAAGTACAGATGCTTTGCTTAGTTTCTCCTAGCAGTTGCCAGCAGCAGCTGGTTATTTTTATTTAAAGGCAAAGAATAAATGTGTTACAGAGGACTAATACACCTGCTCCAGCTTCAGATCAGACTGGAGGAAGATGAGGCCAATTAAGGAAATAAAATAACTAGAGACATATATACATGTCCTACCTTCAAAAGCAAACCTGGTGCTGACATCTGAACATGCACAGGGTGTTTTAGGAGATGCATGACTCTGAAAAGTGGGCTAATCCATGAATCTTGAGCCTATAAGAAATAACCCTTCTTATGGGGATAACAGAGCATACTGTTACCATTTTTTGCTTTCTCTTTTGCTCTGTCAATGAGAATCCTGTGATTAAAAAAAACCCTTTTGTCATGACGCTCAGTCAGGAGATCACAGACCCTAAATTCAAGGCTGGAAGGGGCAACACTGGGATAGTCTGAAATAGGAGTTTTCCTTTTTTTCTTCTTCTTTTGAGGCCCTTGAAGCAACTGGAACAGATTCGGCTCCAGTTGTGTGGTATTTTCTTAGTCTGGCAAATCCACAGAGGAGTGCATGGATTTGTCAAACAAAAATCTCTTGAAAACACCACTATCAATCTTTTTGGATCTGCATTTAAATAACAAGAAGGCATGTTTCACTATGATGTGGCCTGCCCCAGACAGTAAATGATGAGTTACAACTTTCAGAAATACAGAATTTTATTACATAGATCATATGAACCTTGAAGCCAGTATAGCCTTAGTGTTTCAGAGTCAAAGCTGAAAGAAGTTGCAGTCAAGGTTAGAGAACAAACTGGAATGCCTAAGAACCAACCCTGAGCCAGAGACCTGAAAAGGAACACTAAAGATATTCAAAAATGTTAGAAGATAAGTTAAAAGTGAATGCTAAATTAGAGCACTCTGTAGCTCGTGTGCAGTTAATACACAAAAAATAAGCTATGACTCAGATGTTCTTATCACTTTTATTACTATATGAATTGCATATGAGTGGGAAAGCTCAAATAATGTCCCCATCCTAGATATTGCTGGAAAAACAAAACAAAACAAAATTTCACCTGAAGTACTTGCATATAAATTTCCAATAGTGGGAGAATGTACGTACACACGGTTGCTTAGAGGAGAATAATAAAAGATCTAACAAGTCAGACTGTCATTTCAGAAAACATCCAACTCTAAATAATGATATTAGGAAAAGCTTTAAAAAACCTCAGCAGATACTTACACAGACCCTCACTCGAGTTATTTGTCAA